TATTAATTATGTTTTGTAGGTACAAACATCGTAATTAATTTTAACTTACTTCACTTCATACGCAAAAAGCATATTAGGATGACATTGATTGATTGATATCAGGAAAACTTCCGAGATTCATAAGGAAAAGGAATGATTGAAAAACAACAATTTAGAAGTCTGCACTTGGGGTAGGTTAAATATCCATTCGCTCTGGATAGCAACAAGCAAGCAGCGAAGCAAATGTGCTAAAAAGCGTTTCGTCACCTGAGTCAGCCCTCCGGCGGTCGCAGGGCGCAAGTCGTCAGCGCCCGATTTAGCCCTGTCGCGTCGCCAGCGCCCGCCCCCGCCCCCGCCCCCGGCCATGCATATGCGGGCGCGCCTGGCCGCGTTTTCCTACGCCCCCGCTCCCACCCCCACCCATTATGAAGCGCGACGCGAGCTGCTCAGCCGCAGACGCTGTTTATGCAGCGGACCCGCTCATCACGCCTCCCCGCCACGCCCCGCCACGCCCCGCCCCGCCGCGTCGCGTCGCGTCACACAAACCAGGTGCTCCGATACATAATGAGGCGGCGGCGGTTGAGGGGGAGGGTCGGTGGGTCACTGACAGCATCGCGCTGCTCCTACCGCACTGCTCGCTCGCTAGAGAAGCCTGTGCCGGAGGTACTCGCCATCTGCTGCCTTCCCCTCGCCCTGCACTCCCACCCCTCTTTCACTCAATGTGCGTGCAAAAGAGCCGATACGTTACTCTAAAATAACATGATGCTTTAAGTATTGTTTGAGCATTGACTAAGCTTTGTGTAGTTTTATGAATTTATATTATTATAATAATAATAATTATTATTATTACTTTGGTTTTTTCCATCATGAGACTATAGTGCATAGTGGGGAAATAGCGATCGCTCAATGCATGGGAACGGGGACTTTATAGATACGAAAGGATCGTGCGCGCACCGTCGCCTGTATTGAAAGATGTTCCCTGTGGACTCCTTAGTAATGGATCAGGCAAAAGACGAAGGCCTGGGAGCAGATCTGTAGGTCTACATTCCATTCCGTCTGGCGCTGCAAACATAAAGATGTTACACACATAAAGTAAATTTGAGACTCGTTGCCGCGCCCCGCCCCGCCAATCACTGGACCACTCGAATCAGGAGGCGTTGCCTTCACGCGCGTCTCTTCTACCCGTGCCGATTTATCCCGAATAATCCCGAAGTGAAATTAACTTAATTTTCTCCAAGAGCTTTTCTCTGATATTTGGCGAATTCAAAATCTTTACTTCATTATAGAATTCTATGATAATATATTAATACTTCAGAACCAAGACGAAATTGAAATATGTGAATGATACAGAATGCAAAAGAAAAACCTGAAACAATACTTAGATCTATGTTCTCAAATATGAATTTGGGTACTTATAAGAACTATAGGTTTAAAATCGTTAATAAAAAGTTGGCAAAAGTCCCAGTGAAATTTTAATTTTAACTACTGTTGTAGAAATATTTAAGTGATAGTTGCATCACGATAAGTGATGATTGCATACACGTATTATTTGAAGGCAGAGATTTATACAAGAGTACGCATTGTCCAAAAAAGTTAAATGTTATTTAAATACCTTTGTAGTTTTCAGTTAAAATATTTTTCTTTCTTTATGGTTTTCTGAAAGTAGCTCCCAATCCCAGTTCAATATTTTTCTTGTTAAATATTTGTTGATTTAGAAATATAATAAAATATGACCATGGTAATTCGTGAAGTAAAAACACCATGAAACATTTTGATACATTCCTTAATAACTCGAAATATACATTTGATCTATTACAGTGACACGTGTCCCAGGGCTTAACTATTTTATCTCCCGAATTTACTGACATACTCTACCATTATAGTATTGCGGTGTAATATATCACATTTTTTTCGATTCTTTCATCGTGTAGTGTGACTGGGCCTTTCCGCCTATGTAACGACGAATTTAAAGTAAAACTCATACGCCGTAGTGACTACATTGAAACGCATTACGATGCAAGTTCCATCAATGGAAGGAGCACGTAGGCGTAATGTGTGTAGAGTATGTTGATGATGCTCCGCCACTTGAAGGGAGAGTGGTGCGAGGGGGACGGAAGTGGGTGGGAGGGGCAGGGGATGCGGAAGGCGGCTGCGGGGCGGGCGCGACCCAGGCTTCACGTGGGCAGCTGCTGCGCCCAGCGCACTTCCTGTCCTCGTACGGAGCGCTTCCACGGTCAGACGGATTGATTCTCTGCGGGCCGGATGCCAGTTCGCTGCGTTCACATCATCAATGTAAATAGCGCCGTGAATGAAAATGATTCGTTCGTTTTATCACTATCTCCACAAGTTGCGTAGTTATTTATATTTTCTGTGCTTATAAAATCAATCCTTGCAGCCTGTCATCTTCAATTGTATCGATCTTTCTTGAGCAATTTTAGAATTATGTAGGATCATTTTGGTATTGTATGCGCTACGGGTTTGTTTTACTGCACCAGTGTTTCTTTTATGCGTTTTAAGCTGTCGATTTGTCCCAGGTATTAGGCGTCCACAAGAATCCTGTTCGAATGCCTCGCGTGGAAAGAAGAAAAAGTGCGTTGCAGGTTGCGTCTTCACAGTAGAAGGCGACGCGACTACTAGTTGTTCCGGAAAGAAATTGGGCTTGCTTAGTACATTGGAATTACGTCACGAAAATCAAATTATGTAAGGACAGATATCACAATGTGTATTATCAAAGGCATAATTTATAGATGCACTGTAAATACTATAAAAAAGCAAATCACCAATACTTCAATGTCAATTACAGGTAGACAGTAGACAGAAAATATCCATTTTGAAAGATACGTTGGAAAATTGTTTGTGGATTTCCTAACACCAAAAATGCACATTTTTTAAATTGTCCCTCTTTAACCTAATATCATTTGTAACCCTATAAGGTTGTTCGATGTTTCCTATGTCTCGTATTTTACTATCAATTCTTCTTTGTTAAGTATTTTACTTTTTTCGGCGTTGCATGAATCTCATACTAATGGTAATTTTTCTTTTAACCTCTGCAAATTTAGCTTCGAATCACCAGATAAGCAGATTCGTCGAACAATCACAATCTGGAGTATAAGAATGAAATGTTGACCGATATAAACTAATCTGGGCGGATGCGAGAGTAATGTATGGAAAACGTGACATCTTCTATGCCCAATATTTTCTTTTCTGCCCTTTACCATTTCCATTCGTAAAACTGAACGTCCTGCCTCGGTTTGAAATATCATCGTCGAAACTACTGGTAACGTAAAATCCCATCTGTTTTTATTGTTCTCGTGTTGAACGCCGGGGATCAGGAAACCTGTCCATTAGTCACCCTGAAATGGGTTGTCGGATTGCACGTTTTCACATTAACACCATCATGAGCTCCAATTAGTACCCACTAATTTCATCTCCCACTTTGGCCACCAAGATCCAACAGCGTACTATTCGATTTTAACCTGACTGAACGGATGTGAGAGCTGATGAAGACAGGATTTGAGAAATTAAAGTATTTGTAGTAGCAGTACGTATTTGTCCTAAGCTTCTTATTATACTCATACAAATAATGTCTTCTATAACTTGATGCCCTTCATTTTAGCTGTGTGTATTTTGGGGCGTTATACCGATGTTACTTTTTTCTGTTCTCTCCATATTACTCATGCGGAGGTGGGAATTTATTTTATAATTTGAAGTTCGTCATTGAGTCACTGTCATGGAGCTTAAGCAGATAAAGGAGGGATTTTCTTACGCATTGGCACAACTAACTTGAGTATTTTTTAACTTCATCGATGATACATCGCTGAAAAAAGACGGCTGCTGGTTTTCCTTGTCCAGGCCGCCGTCCGCGGCTGCGGGGCGGAGGCAGTGGCGCACGGGTAACGGTTTCCCTTTCAGCTCGCTCCAGAAGCTTCCACAGTCACCTCCGTCATTCTCTCTTTCACGTACATGCTAAGAGATGTTTTTAAATTTTCTACCATGGTACGATTATCCTTTACTAAGAAGCGTCTAAGAACTCTGTGTGGAAGCCAGATACTCGGTGAAAAGAAAATCGATCATACATTTTTTGGAGGAAAATAATGGCTTTGAGGTTTCAATGACATCTCTCTTTAGGGACCTTTAATATGAAGATTCTAATAAAGCATTGAAGGAAATTCATCGACACAGCACATACGTGTATTCTGTGGTTAACATTAACTATAATAATATAATATATAATATAATATATCATTGTTATTAAAGGCGTATGTGCTTTTCACAATATCCTCCTACATTGAAGAATGTCTTACTTTCTTACTGATTCTTATTACTGTAAATTATCACTTTGTTTATAATTGAGAGTACCTACAGTACTTCTCCACATCAACATTTCTTGTTACAGTGCAAGCGAGAGAAAGACAACAATAAAAAGGTCTTCAGCTGATTGTTTACCGAATATGGACATGCGTTCGTAGTGTGCGTTCACCGTCGTAGAATGAACCCACTACCAACCAATGACCAACCTGCCACGAAATCCTCTCGGGTGCTAGCAGCCGCTTCACGACCAAGCGCCCCCCCCTCGAGGGCCAAAGCGCTGGCGGGGGG